TGTGAGTGGGATAGCTCTTTCATCAAACCCTTGACAGAAATTATTCCCCTCGGGCAAGCCCTCGGGGAATAGTTCTCTGTCGCGGGTTTGATAAAAGAGCTATCCTACTCACACCCAGTGGATTTGTGTATAATATCCCCTGAGAAGACTTATCGTACCTGCATTTTTGCATTACCTTGTACTTGAGCTCGAGTTACGTTAAACGATGTATCCTGGTGTGCTTGAGATAAAAGAAAATACACAGAGTCTGACACAATTGTTTCATACTTAGATATTTTACTTTAAAAACACGATAATAGTCATCTATCAAATAAGCTCCATGATAAACGTGATGACTTTACACGTAATTTTTCTATCGCCAACATCCCTTACTTGTGCAGCAATATACCTTCATCACTGGCATATGGAGTTTATATATCTAAACTGAATTGATACACAAGAGCATGCTATACGTATGAGTGATTTTAAAAACAAGGTAAATTATTGACAAATAAGTGGATGAAACAAGGATATCAGCAGTCTCGTTGAAAGTCATCATTTGTTAGTTCAATTATCGATACAAAGACCCTGCTTGTCAGCAAATACAATTAATAATTGAGTCAAATGCTCACTGACGTTTTTTATACAAATTATTGTCCATTATTTATACAATGGATTGACAGTGGATTTTACCGTTATTTCCCGATCCTGACAAGGACCACACACGGTGTGATCGGTCAGCAGGATATGCATACTTTTCCATGCCATCTGAACCAATCTCTGATGTTCTGGAGGTCAATGTTTGCTCTGCTTCTATTTTTTATTATTTAATAGACTTTTAATCTTAAATACTGTTCGATAAATCCATATGTTTCACTTTCCTTCCCTGTTTATATTTTATTTTTAAGCTCCTCAAGTTGTAGAGCAAATAACGTTCGACGCTGCAAGTTGTTAAAATTAATTTGCATGATGTAACAGTTTTTTGTGTAACATTATAATGACATATACTGCCGGAGAAATAACAAAGCATAAATATGCCACTATATCTGTTATGTATTCTTTAGTTTATATTTTAAATAAGCTCCTTGATCAACTATGTCTCATGTAGAGCAAATATATGTACCCATTAAGTAAACAAAATCTGGACCAATGCAATGATTATTTTTTTATATGTGCTATAAGAAAGATCAACATAGTAAAAAAAATATTGCTGTTTTTTGCTCTTAGTACGATGATTTTCTTCCATCTAAAAGCAATTTATATCTCACTCTTTTGGTTCAATAACTCCTCAATATTCTGAAGTATAAACTAATGCGAGTAAAGCAAATTCGGAAATAAACTTTTAAGCTACATTTAAATACCCATTCGTGGTTGAAAAAAATTTGAGTACTGTTGATGTTAATTGTGGATTTTAATTGCGATAGACGAAAATATTGTATTTGCTGAAAATGACGTCATAGCCCAAGACTCTTGAAGTTTCTCCTTCACTTCAGTAAAATTCTGTGAGGAGTGAGGAAAGAGGCTCGGTATAACATTTACTGGAACCCGCTATGTATTTCTGTTTATTAAGATAATTATGATCTTTCGGGATCCAACATAGATATGGTAAATAAAAATCATTATGGATATTTGGGATATTAAAAATATGCAAAACTGACATATGATTTTGGAAAATTTCTTTCTTTAGAAAGGGAACTATGAAATGGGTTCAAGTCATTATAAAATCCTTATTTTTTTTTCAGTGGCTTATAAAACTATATTTCATATATTTTAACGTTAGATTTCAACAAAGATTTCATTACAGATCTATACAAATAGATATAGACTTTATGGGATGCACCAAGAGAAGAGGCCAACATGAATCCTTTTATTTAGACAGTGTGATAGCACAACTAGTAAATATTACTGGTTTACATTGTTATCAGAATTACAGTTTGAATACCAGTTCTTTCCAGTGTGCTCAAATTGACGTTATTTTTTATGGATTAGTCCTATATCAAACATATTTACAGACAGATAAAAAAAATTAAGGTAGAAAATAGAGTAAAAAAGAATATATACATAGAATATTACATCAGATATATTTACATACTAGTAAATAAACTTTTCAGAGAAAATCATTGTGCCATTAGATAAAATTCCTTTTAAAAAACAATTTTTCACTTGTTTAAATTATAATTTTGCAAATATGGTGATATAAAAGAAGCAAAAAAATACAATTTCTAACTGAGTCAGGCAACTGGTTCCATGAAATTGCAGTTGAAACTTACAAAGATCGTTTAAAATACTCAGTTTATGCTTTTGGGATGTATTTATAAAAGGCCACCAACATTATTTCTTGTTGTCGTTGAGCTAACTTGGCTAACATAACAAAATAACATTCAAATATTTGGCGTCATACTTTTCATAACTTTAAAAGCAAGCACAAGTTTTCTATATATACATAATAATCATGTAATGGCATCCATTTAAGAGAACTAAAAATGTCAAAAGTAGGAGTTTGAATTTCTTTCAAATTCATGTTAAAGCTGGCGGCTTTATTCTGTAATCTAAAAAAGTATATCAATAAAACTCTTGTTTGTGGCTTTGTAAACGGCGTAAAATACCTTTTTGTGATAGTTTCTTATATAAAGAATCAATATGTACGAAACATTTTATATCTTTTTTATATTTTGAATCAAAATAGAATGAAATGATTCAAAAGCACAAAGGTATGTTATAATGCTATTTTAACAGTAAATGCATATCAGTTAATGTACATTTAATTTAAGAATAACTTTGGTTTCATGATGTGATCTATCGATTGGCTTGCGTGTTAATGTACATAAACACCGAATTCGTTTATGCATAAAATTACGACGCAAACCAATTAATTTATTATCATCATGAATCAAAAAATTTGGACAGTATTTCTTTTTATCTAAACGCTCTTAGTTCCTCAAAATCACGTGCTGCAAATCTGCTTTCTTTTCCTATTCGTTCCGCCCGTACGTGATTGTTTTAATCACGCCAATCGATGAACCAGTACATTCATGTAGAAATAAAGTATTTTATCTATTGGTTGTTTTATCTAGGGCAAAAAATTATAAAATGTTTACATTTCTAAATACCCGTATACCTATGGAGCTGCACTGATAAGAAATCTATTTCATTCAATTTCTTTAAGAAATAACGGAAGCTTGGCATAAGGTAGGAAACTGTTTAAAGACTTCAGGAAAAAGATAATGACCTTGACCTGACCTTGCCTCTTATGTAAAACGGTTAGATTTAATTTCACTGATACTATCACTTACTTATATTGTTTTTTTTTGTTGATTCTATGAAAATTTTACTAATTTTTAAATACAAAAAACATGAGAAGAATCCTACCTTAAGGTTTCGTTAAAGGTCAACATGTCTAAAAGATTATTTTTACAATAGCTCCAAATCTATGCGTGGTATACGGTTAAAACGTTTACACTTTATAAATATATAATTGATTAATAGATAGAAAGTATCACTTGATAACAAATATTTTTAAAAAGATTTTTTTTCTTAGAAAAATTGTATCAGAAAATGTGCCTGTTTTAAAAAAAATGCACTTGTTTAATTATGTCCTTTTTGTGAAAACCATCATTGCAGAAATAATATATGTTTATCATTGAAGGGCAAGTTGAACGTGAATGGTCTTCGAAAGGCTGTTTTTGAAAGCATGACATGCATAAAGACAAGACCCCTATAGAATCCGCCATTTGCAATGTACTTTCACTTTCAAGTCTTAACATTTGGACAAAAAAAAAACAGGGAAAACAACTTTCCACGGGCAATCCAAGTCCAACTTGCCCTTCATTGATAAACATATTTTGTTTTTGCAATGATGGTTTTCACTCAGAGCACGTAATTAATTAGGTGTATTTTTTGAAAATATATGTATTTTTAAGAAGATTTTTTTCTCAATTAATATTTTTTTCCAAGTATTTTTTTATCAAGTGATACTTTTTATCTGTTAAGCAATGAAAAATTTATGAACTGTAAAAGTTTTAACTTTATACCTCACGTAGTTTTGGAACTATTGTAAAAATAATTTTTTGAACATGTTGACCTTTGACGAAACCTTAACAGACTCTTTCAGATTTTACAGCATTGACAGGTTGCGATACGTATTTAAGTCTTCGGTTTGAAATTCAGATGAAAAGAAGCGCAAATGAAATCTAAAATGTTTGTGATAGAACTGTTAGGATATTTGAGTAGCTTCCCTTTACATTTAGGAACTTACTGGGGAGAATATATACCCATTGGGATATAGCAAAATATAATATCAGAACAGGTATTTTTTGCATTAAAGAACTTTCAATTATTGTTTCATTAGGTTGGTTATGACACGACAATATTTGTAAACTTTTTTTCTCGTAAGGCCATTTTATTCATACGCACTGATTTTGATCCGCAAATTTCATAGTAGAGTAAAAGAAAATTTCATTTTATTAATTAAAAGTCATAATTAAATGATAAAAAATAAATATAATATTTTTAGCGTATTGATGACGTTTTCTGTCCAATTTTTTTTTTTTTTTTTTTTGATACTTCGATCAAAAGAAAATAATAATACATTTATTTCTTATCATTTTTTTGATATCGGCGTTATAAATCCAGCTCTACTCTTTATCTTGAGTAAGAGAAAAAGAGTATAAGGTGGAAAAAACATTTTCAAAAAAAACACTTTTCTAAGAAAGATATTAAATCATTAGTAAAGTCTCCAGACAACTTTATCACCCATGACGTATGAAAGTTTCACGACCATTATATAGAACGAATGAGTCTGAACTGTGACCTTGCAGTGTATATAGATCTAGATATATTATTCGTGTAGGTCTTTTATGGTATCCTAAATACCACTGCGCTTTACTTGTTGCATCGCTAAACATATCAGAAAAATAGTAAATTATTGCCTTACATATTTATCTGCATTTTGATGTGATGTACGTATTATATATTAAACAATTATAAACAATTTATTTTTGTTACTTTTTTCCAGAAAAATAATGGCCTGTTCAACATATATCTCTACGAATCAAACAACAAATGCTATTCGTGTATTCCTGTTATTAGTAGGTCCATGTACAGATTTATTTAGGGACATTCTTAGTAACCATGTCTATGAAACTCAATTCCCGACAGTTCTCGCAAATGAAAGGGGTACTCTGTATTCTAATTTGAACAAAGTGCAGAAAGAAGTGCTCTATCCAAAGAATGGACAGCTCCAGGTTTCGTATGAGAACTTTGATTTGTCTCTGTTATATACATTGCTTCGAAACATAGCAGGAATTGTTCCTCATCAAAACGGATGGGGACACACACCTGATCCAACCGACCGATCGTTGGCTGCAAACATCGACCGCATCAGAGAGATCAGGAATACTTATTTCGGACATGCATCCGAGCTTTCTCTTTCTGATGAAACATTTAACGACGTTTGGGAACAACTAACCACCATTATAGGTGACCTTGAGAAATCAGTGCATGTAGGATTAACAAAGTACTCAGAAGCTGCTAAACATCTCAAAACAGACAGAATGGATCCCGGACAGGAAAAAAGATATCTGGATATCATCAGTACTCAAAACAAAATGTTTCACGGTATATGTAATCTTGTAATTTTAGTCAGTTGATTTGGAAATTTTCAGATATCGTTAATTGTGTTTAAAAATTATTTGGAATGACATTAATATTTCAACACCCCTTGCGTTTTGAATTAGTTTTTGCCAAATTTCTTCTTCAGAAATAAAAGAAGACAAGATGTGTTTGCGAAACACTGATGCCCCCCCCCCCCCCCCATGGCAACATATCGAAGACTAAATTATCTCAAATGCAAATCAAACATGTTGATACCCAAAGTAGGGCTTTCTAACAAAAAATACAAACATGAAATATAAAACCCTAGCTCCATCTGTTCAAAAGTTATAGCCAATAAACTTTTTTTAATGTAGTTAAAACACCGGGGTCAAGGTCAAAGGATAAAGGTTGTTGATTTCTTAAGTAAGGCCTTGTCACAAAGATTACATACATGTAATGTATGGGAAGTATATGGCCATATAAGATATGGCCAAGGTTAATGTTTTTTAAAAGTAAGTCAATCTGTTAGGTCAAGGTCAAAAGGTCAAAGTTATTGGTATCATATAAAAAGTCTTGTTACAAGAATTACAATGTGAAGTTTGAAAGGCCTAGCCCTTACCGTTCATAAGTTAGACCAAGAAATAGTTTGGAAAATTGGTGTAAAAATTGTGTCAAACTCCAATGTGGAGGCCAAGAGGTCAAATTTGGTCGTACCCGAAGAAAGGCTTTGTCATAAGAAATACACCTGTGAAATATGAAGGTCATACTCCCATCCAGTCAAAAGTTATTGGCAAAGTTAAAGTTTTTGCGGACAAACAGACAGACAAACAGTCGGACGTACGGGGGCATAAAAGCTCTTGCCCTTACCGTTCATAAGTAATGGCCAAGGATAAAGTTTGGAAGTTTGGTGTAAAAGTGTGTCAAACTCCAAGGCCAATTTCAAGAGGTCAAATTTGGTGGTTTCAAAAGGTTTTGTCATACGGAATATACTACTGTGAAATATGAAACTATAGTCCTATCCAGTCAAAAGTTATTGATCCTTCGACGTATTTAGCTCCATAATTTTTCACCTTCTTTTTCAGCATTTCATTTTTTTTAAATCATATATTTTGGATTAACATCTTTTCGCTATAAACATAACTGATAAACACTGTTTGTCTTAATTCGTATCTGGCGCACCTTGAATATACTATATTAATAAAGGATATTGTACCTTACTTAAGCAAAAAAAAAACAAGATGTGTTTGTGAAACACTTTGCGCCCGGCGGTAAAAAAATTCAAAAAAACTATTTTTTTGCAGATAAGTCACAGTCAAGATCACAAGGTCATCGACTTGGTGTCATTTCAAAGAACTTTATCAGTGGAGTATGCATATTAAATATGAAGTCTTTATCTCTCATGGTTCAAAAGTTATGGCGAAAGTTCGAAAAGGCCATTTTTAGCATATAGGTCACATTTAAGGTCACAAGGTCATTGATCTTGGTGCCATTTGATAGAGCTTCATTGTTCAAGTATGCATACCAAATATGAAGTCTCTATTTCTCATGGTTCAAAAGTTATGGTGAAAGTTCAAAAAAGCTATTTTTAGCATAAAGGTCACAGTCAAGGTCACAAGGTCATTGAACTTGGTGCCATTTGAAAGAGCTTCATTGTTTGAGTATGCATACCAAATATGAAGTCTCTACCTCTCATGGTTCAAAAGTTATGGCCAAGGTTAAAGTTGACAACAGACAGAAAGACAAACAGACAAACAGACAGGACAAAAACAATATACGCCTCGGATCTATCGATCCGGGCGCATAAAAACAACTAGTATATGCGTAAACTTTGTTATGATTATAAAATGAAGTACTAGCTAGAAAACCAGATATTTTTGAATCGAGGACTGTGATACCAAGAAGATACCTTAGCTAATAAGGTGTACTACATGTCTCAACCCACAAAATAGGATTAAAGTATTAAATATATGACTATTTCTCATTTCCCAGGGAAAAACCAGAATTTCCCGGGAATATCAAGTATTTGTACTGTTCTACTAGGAAATATGAGTATCGACTTCACTGAGAAGAATATTGTCGAAATCAAATAGTGACAACTCGATATGCATTTCAATGATGAACTTATAAATTGCTCAACTGATGAACTCATAAATTGCTCAACTGAAAGTGCTAATGTGATAAGCAATTTTTAAAAGTTTAGAAAACACCGAAAAAATTCTTTTGAATTCTTCTTTTGTTTTTCAGAAGAAGACTTTACGACTGTCGTCCTAGAAGAGAAAAGGTTTTTTGATGATTTGTATCGGAAGATAGAAGACCATCAAGAAAGTCTAGGTAAATTATATAAAGCTTTTTTAACTTACCTTTAAAACTTGAAAACATCAAATTAAAAGAATTTACATTTATTCGTAATAAAGTTGTAAAAGTTGAACTTTTAAAACATTAATTTAAAGAACACATACTTTTTCTTACGAAAATTAACTACAATTAACAATAGTCGACTATATAGCCTACTATAATAAAAGCTTTGATAATTTTAATTACTATTAAACTTAATTCACATTCCTTTTTTTAAACCCAAATCTTCAAATTTCTTAAATTCAGTGACAGTGAAGTATATGTTGGAAATCATATTTGATTACACATGTAGTGCATCTATTAAGCGTAAAAAAAATATGTATTAATTGAAGAACACAAAATATAAAAATCTGAAATCTATAGTACATGTAAAAATACTTCTGTGAGGTATAGTAAAAACTTTAATTAACAATAGTTTAAACTTGATTATAGCTGTTTGGATAATACTTATAGCGGATATAGGCTTGGGTAGCTCAGTGGTAAGGCACCTTACTAGAAATGCGGGGTTCCCGGGTTCGATTTCCGGTCCAGCCCTATATTTTCATTATGCATTTCACCTTTACTACATTAATACTCATACAGAGAAAATAGGTCCTAACCATTAATCACTCAGGTTCAATATGTCCTTTCAAGCGGAAAGTAACCCAATGGGATGCTATTCATATTTTGCATTGGTAGACGCGCTATATGGTCAACTCTTAATCAAGACTGATACTGCTTTAGGTTAAGCTGAAAGGCCCTTTCAAAAATGGCGCACGAGCAGAAGCGACAAAATATCCGTGCGATTAAAAACTTATGATTTGGATCCAAATCTTGCTGAAATAATCGCATATGAAAAAAGTATTCGTACAATCTAAAGCGACCGTTAACTTGTGCATGAAATCTTACGATCTATCTTGCGTCTTTATGCAACTGTTGTACAATGAAAGCTAGTGTTGTAAAAAAAAAATGCGAAAGGATTGCGGGAGTGATCATGTAATCGGGTGATTGAACGTGCACCAATACGATTGGACGAAAGGCGCTCGTACAATCATGCGTTTCATGATATGGTACAAATGAATATGTCTTTGCTGGAGGGCTTTGAGTTGTATTCGAAGATTCAGTATACCAAGCAGACGGCGAGGAAGTATTGGTGCAGCAGCATCCATGGTGAATAGTGGTCTGAAACATAAATGCTTACGCAGAGTATACATAGCTAGTGGCAAAGCATGGAAAATTGAAGCTGATAAATCGTGCAATGATAGTAAAACTTTGCAAGATTACATGAGACACGTTGAGCAAAAGTCTCATGGTCGCAAAACACATGCATATACAGTACTGACCAGACCCAACCTGACACCCAAGCAGTCCCAGAAAGCAATCCCAGGGACTGCTTTGGGACCGCTCTGGGACTGCTGTGGGACTGCTCTGGGACTGCTGTGGGACCGCTATGGGACTGCCTTGGGACTGCTCTAAAAAGCAGACCCAGCAGTCCCAGCCGTCCCTGGGACTGTTTTCTGGGACTGCTTTGTTCACTCATGTGTTAAAGAAGTTCTGAGTGACATGATAGCTCCGCCCCTTGTGTATTCTGAATTTGCATGCTCCCAGTTGTTTTGTTTACTTACAGCAGAGAGGAGTTTCAACTATTAAAAAAGCAAAGATTTCTTACAATCTTTTGATAAGTAGAGAATATTATAGATAATTAATATTTTCAGAGACTGTATATTTACATGAATGTAGTTAGAATATATTTTTTTAAATAAATTAAGTTATTAAATAAGGAAGATAGAAGTAGATTTTTTCCCCTAAAAATAAACTACAGATTTATGAGAAAAAATATCTTCATGTAAGTCTATTTTATTATTTAATGTAAAATTATGTACACTAAAAATTTGCATTGGCACTATTTAAAAATAATCATTATACAGTAAGACATAAGATTTTTAATTGAAAAGCTTCATGTTTTACGAGCACCACTTTTAAAAAAGTATCCCACGCAACCCTAAAATAAAGCCAAACAATAAATTAAATAAGTATGAAATAAAATTATGCTACCATTCTTCCATATCTCAAACAATTTAAACAATCATCGGGGAATTTATTAATGAATTACTGGTAGTTTTTAATTTATACAAGTTATCAAAAGAGAACATTTATTTTATAAATAAAGAGTTGAAAATATCCAGAATTGTGATTTATTTCTTTATTCTTTTGCTTGTGTTTACATGTACCTGGCCGATTAATGTTTATTACATGGTATCAACACCGGCGGTTTCAATCGCCTTAGGGCAGAAAATCAGTGCATGTTATTTGGGTATATGTATCAGCGTTTCACATCATTGAACATGCTGGTCAACAATGACACAAATTTCAATCTACCGGTACATAATGCAAAAATCAAATTGAAAAATGAAATGTGTATGAATTTCTTTCAGCATTAATTAGTTTTGAACATAATCTTATGGTTCCATTCTGGTGAGTTAGAGATGTACATTCTAACATTTCTTAAATATTTACATTCGCTGTGTTTTTCTAGTAAGCCAACTGTGAAATTGATTTGAAAACCATTTTCGTGTATACTCACGCGTAGAAATACACACGGAGAAACGTGCGTTAACGTGACGTCACATTGAGGCTGCAGCGACGTTAGAAAAAATGCAACGATATAGGGCAGCGAGAAATTCAAATATTTAGCATAATTTAGTTGCTTCCAAACATGCAAAATGTAAATATAAGGAATGTTTTTCAGTTTAGTGTGAGTTATTGGTGTGTGAATCACACAAACTTGCACGTAGGCATATTTTTCATGAAGCGCTAGCGCGCTTCATGAAATATGCCTACGTGACAAGTCTGTGTGATTCAAACACCAATAACTCACACAAAACTAAAAAACATTCCTTAAATAAAACACTTAAAACCGAGTATTATAGAGAAACAGAAATTAACAATAATAAAATTGACATGTCAGTAAAAAAAATCATGACTAAAAAATAATACTTGGCAAAATTAACAAAGAATTTTCTAAAAGCAAAATTCCTTTTGAGTATCCCGATAGTATGGAAAAAACTATAATTTTCCTAAGGGTACTTAATTGGCCATAAAATGATGAGATCTATTTAAAGTTAATTCTTACGGATGGAAAATAATTAATAATTCACGGTTAATTTTCTGTATAAAAACTAAATGGGAAACCGTATAAATAACAGAAAATAAAGAAATTAAATAATTAATATAATATACCCGATAATTGTGATTAAATGCTCATGTTCAGTTTAATTCATACATGTACAGTACGTGTAAAAGCCTTCTTCCTTCAATAAATAATCATTCAATTTGTTTCTATGCGCTTAGTGTTCATAAATGACCTTCGCATACATGTATGGATTCCTGGCACACTACTCAGAATCAATTTCTACTGCCTTTTATAGTACCATTGCAAATCTCATTTCTGAGTTAGCTCCGCCCATTAAATTAATAAACCCCGCCCACTGGGGCTGCTGAAACTACTTTCTGGGACTGCTCTCTAGGACTGCTGGGACATCTCTGGGACTGCTTTGGGACTTCTCTGGGACCGCTTTGGGACTGCTCTGGGACTGCTTTGTGTAAGGTTTGGCCTGGTCGGTACTGTACTTGCGATTCATCTTACGACCTTTAAAAATCCTGCATCACTCTTGCGAGTATGCAAAACCTTGTAAGACGCTCGTACTAAAATTCAAGCGTTAAATTGCGATAAACGTGGATTGCATTGGTCGCGTCTGAATAGTGTGAATGTCGACTATTTTGAAGAGACTTGATGCGACCACTAAAACGCATGCAACGAATGCGAGACATCGTGCAACATAATCGAGAGCTCAGCGAGAACTCGTGCAAAGTGTTTTAAAGTTCTCTTGCGCCAATTGTGAAAGGGTCTTCAGCAATCTTTTGCTTTCTGGGTGAGTTCTGAAATCACCGTTTGCATTCTTGGTTAACGTTCAGTTTGGGTGCAATCCTCTCATGGGAAGCCCTATTAGATTATCATATAATAAAAATAAATTTAATGTTTTTCACAGGGTATATATCACTTTGTATTGAATTTTATTTGAGCACCCAATCTGACAATCATAAAAAAAGGACAGAAGAATTATGGCATGAGATATAAAGTTTGTCAGGGTAACACAGTCATGCTCAAAATTTGATTTTACTCTCTTTTATTTTCTACAACGGTGGTCGATTTGATAATATAAATTGCAATATAGAAATAAGAAAATGAACAGTCTTTCTAAAGAAGGTGGGGGGGGTTAATTTGGACGAAGTGCCTATAGTGCGACAAACATGAAGTCAAAAATTAAATCTCTATTATATTCCAATTTTCTTTGATATTAATATTTCATCTAACATTTAAGTATACTGCATATAAAATCTCTAATTTACAAAAGTCTCACAAAGGCTGAAATCATCTGTCTATGAAAAAGCATACACATGCACACTGGAAAGGAAAAAAATCATTTTCTAATACTTGAACAAAATTTTTCAATATGAGTGGGTTTTTGCTCCATTTTTTAAAAGATAATCCAAAAAGGTTTCTAATAAAATATATATTTTTTGGTTTACACTATGCCTTATAAGTACATTTTTATGACAAAACATTCGCATCTTTCTGAGAAATTATTTAGTCAATTAAGTCAAAGATCAAATCACAAACATGATTGAAATGTCCTAAGTTGTCATGAGCTATGTAGCGTAATGGTTAGCGCGTTAGTCTTAAAGCAGTATGATACTCCGGATTTTTATTGCAAGAGTTCAAATCCCATGAATACAATCTCATTTCTTAATGAAAAAATATTTTTCCGAGATTTTTTTTCTCTCACGAAAGGTTTGTTTTTCATAATTTCATAAATTTCAATCATGATAACTTAATTCAAATACTCAATTCACAAATTGAATATGATTTCTCAATATCTGAAGCTGTAGGCATTCTGTGCTCCTTGTTTCCCCATCTTCTTTACTTTATTTCTCAAAGTATTTACTGATAACCATTACATAAGTAAAATCTGTCAACTTTCCGTTCTAGGGATACTCTAAATATACTATCAAATAGTTTCAATTACAAGACCAAGATTTCAATTTCCAATGCTTCCTATATTTGCTTTTTTGAGTTTTTGGAAAAATTTCACAGTGACTGCAAACGGTTGTAGGTGGAAAATTAAGAGATAGAATCCTGACCAAAGAATCACAGACAGATACAACACGTGCTATGTATACCTTTAATGACTCTTGTGCTGTTGATGATGTCTCACAGTCTCTAACGCTAGGTAATGTGATTTCATTTTCTAACTTACCTAAGTACTTCGGTAGTGGCTTGTAATTATGTATACGAGTATCTTTTTAATGATATTGTTAATGTGGAAATTTATTTCAAAAGAGCCATAGCGCATTTGATAGTCACTTTCGCCTACTTTAGCAGTGATTTTTTAAATACTTTGTTTAACCAAAATTTTGTCATACAATGTTAGTTTATACATGCCTTAACACTTTACAACTTACTGAACTGTTATGCAATAAACACTTAATGTTCACGTCATAGAAATCGAAATTTACCATTTCCCCGCAAGCACCTTATACCGTGGTGCACGTTTCTCTAAAGTTGAGCTTAACTAATATCATGACGCAATATTTTCATACAAAAATAAATTTTCTAATTTTATTAGATGTTTGCAGATATAAAATGGAAGGAAATTGGCATTAAATTTAATGCCCTGTTCACACGGAGAGTTTAATTCGCAGTAAATTAATGCGAAGTAAACTAATGCGAATTAAAATAATCCGAATTAAATTGCGTTCACACGACAGCTAATTCGAAGTAAACTAATGCGAATTAAAATTTTACTTCTGCAGCCCGGCGTCAGCACGGCTATTATGACGTCATTTGCAGATCACGTCACATTATGCAGAAGCAGATCCATTTGACATAATGGCAAAGTGTCTGCATGCAAATTTTGATGATTTTTTCCTTAGTTTTTCACTCAAAAATAGCACAAGTACCTATAGCTGACCATCGACAAGTGGCATTTGACTAAATTTTGCCATTACGCATGCGTCAGAATTTAATTCGAATTAGCTTCGCTTAGCGTTCACACGGAGCTAATGCGAAGTAATTTAATGCGCATTAAACTAATGCGAAGTAAACTAATTCGCATTAAATTCTCCGTGTGAACGCTAAGCGAAGCTAATTCGCAGTAAACTTACGTTTAATTCGAATTAAACTCTCCGTGTGAACAGGGCATAAGATTAAATGAACTTTTTAAAGTGCGTGAAAATGCGTGATTGCGGGGAAACGGTATATGCGTGATTTTGCGCTAGAAATAGGAAATGGTATATGCGTTAAAATGCGTGACTGCGGGGAAGGGGGTTAAAGCAACTCACACAAAAATAAAAATCAATTATCAATACTTTCCTCTTATGATAGTTATAAAAATCGTTCAGTTTATACGGAGAATATAGTAAATACTGAGGTACCCCCCTAAACAATGACAAACTGTAGGAAAAGACCACCCTTAACCAGAAAAAACAGCTTCTGAATAATTTTATTTGGATATGACTGCACTTCATTACGTTTAGATAATTTTGGTTAAAGGTGGTCTTCATATTGAAAATGTTGAAAATATGTATTTAATTTTTCTTCTAATTTTTTTTCAAAATTCAACAATCTGTCTTAATTTTATCCATTCGTATACTAAGACTTCGTGGCGTAGTGGTATGATTGCTGGATAGAAAACATAATGATCGTGAGTGCGTGTCTCACAGGTCGTGTCAACTATGATTTTATTTTTTTTCTCTGTTTGCATTTACCTATGTTTTCTTTCATTATTTTATAATACATGCATGTATAAATGATTTTTAAAAGAAATATATAATACAACATTACACATTGAAAGTTCCTTGGGGGAAAAACAGTCAAACTATTTTAATGACCCAAAGTCATATATGTATAGCTGCTAGCTTGTTTTATTTTTAAAATTTTCAAACAATCTTGTTTAGAATAAGAGTATTGGAGAAGTAAAATTACTGTCATGCAACAAACTTGCACCTATGAAAATACAAGAAACATATATTGACGCAAGCGTCAAAAATCGGCCGCAAACCAATTAATTATTCCATTGATAAAGTAATTAGAAAATGAAATTTGCGTGACCTGTTTTTAAAATTTCTTATATTTATCTATTTGAATATCCTTGTGACATGAAACACTTGCATGCGGCATAGCCGATTCTCTTCATGCATAATGCATGTACAATATTATATGTATAAGCAAACGGTCCGTAGACCTCTGCGTCTATGCACTCAGTTTGGTACATAAATTGTAAACGAACTGCTCTGGTGGAAGTTTCATGTTTAAGTAGTTTTTACATAAACATTTCCATTTCTAAGTTTTTTTCTCTGTGAGAACTGTTTGAAATTTGGTGGCATTTATTTCTTGATAATTCTGCCGGAATGTAAATTAGGCAGGTCGATAGGTCAGCAGCTAAGGAGGCCTAATACGCATGCAAATCTCGTGCGCATCTGTCTCTGTGTCTGACGCTAAGGAGGCCAAATATGCATGAAAATCTCGTGCGGCTGCCTTTGTCTCTGACGTCAGTGTGCGAGGACTTTTGAAATTGGCATGGAAGTCCTCGTGTAATTTAAATCTATTAGTCTACATTTTTAATGTCTAAGTCTACAATTATAGCGAGCGCAGCGAGGCGGCGCAGCGAGCTCTTAAAGCAACGCCTGTGCGAAGAGAAAATTCGGACTTCTGCACATTCATTCGATAGAATTTTTTGATGCCGTAATTTCGACCCACAATGCATCACTTGTTTTAGCTACGTTCTCGCGAGAATCACGGCAAATGTTCAACAAAAGGTTAATCGCCTTGAATTATTGGTATATATTTAAGATAAATAGAAAATAAAACGTTCTTCATTAACTTTCAGCACTGTTCAGGCTTTTTCTCGGTATATTGCAACTTGCATACGTCATGTGACGTCAGAGTCTAGACGCACCGAATGTCACGTGCGGTTTGACGAGCCCGATCTAAATCAAAACAATAGAAGAGTTTGCGCTCGCTCTAACGGTCGCAACGTCAACATATTATTTCACAATGAAATGGAAATATAAGGAATCACTGTCTAGTTTTGAGAGTATGCCAGGGACATCAACAATAGTGGGAAACATGGGATAATTTTAGCATAACGGGCTTCGTCCGTTATGCAAATTATCCCATGTTTCCCACTATTGTTGATGCCCTGGCATACTCTCAAAACTAGACAGTGATGAACTAAAATTTAAACTAAGCTTTAGTTTTACTTTAATAAAAAAGCAACAAATATGAAATATGTGGGGCTCCTCGCTCTTTCTTAGAGGATATTGACTTCCCCCAACTCCCTCTAGATCCACCACATTTCTTCTCCTTTAGTCTCTTTGTTTCGGTTTTGAGATGTGGCGGGAAAATGCATGGCACGTTGTAAAACACGCTTTATTCTAGTCTCCTGGACCAAAATGTTGTAAGATTCCTTGCTTTAAAGAAATAAATATTTCATCAAATTTTTGAAAATTTTCCATAGAAAATGTATGAATATACACGTCATTTCAAAATAAATACAACAAATCCCGTATAGGCTGTTTAAATAGAGAAAGTAAAATTGTTGATTTACAACGCGGTCTTTGTTTTAGACTATGCCTACATATAACTTCGCCGCACTTCAATCATGTCGGAGTTTGTCAATCAGGATTGGATGAAACACACCCCCATTATTTATATGATTTTAATTTTATGATTATTGTGCTTTTTGTTAAACATTCAAAAATATCTTTGTTTAATATTCTATAATATGAACGCTAAATATTTTTATTTAAATCGTTCTAACTCCGCAGAAACGCACATCGATTTCAAACTTTCATACAAGTAGAGCTTTTTAAAAAAGCTTTCCGTCTTTAGCAAAAGTCTTAAACAGTAAAGTGATCTACGGCACCTACCAGGCCGTATAATTCTTTTAAATTTTGTATTTCTACATTAGCTTTTTACTGGCAATAGCCCTACCACGGTTGTCGCTCGGTCATCTCCGTAAACTTTGACTGTCCGAGAGCTTTCGGCAAACCTCGGCTGATTCTTAAAACAAAAAAGGGGAAAAGAATAATAACAAATTGTAATGCATGCAAGCTATAAAAATCAAATTTTATTTAAATTGAAAAATAAGAGACCTTTTTTATTTATTGCTATAAAACATACCATGTTATTAAGAATTATTATAATCACTGCTGATTTTGCTGTTCGTTTTGTCATTTTTTTAAGATTGGAAATCTTGCAAAATTGTTAAGTCGTACGAAAATTAGATCATCAGAAAGTTATCTCCCTTGCCTTGAACAGCATTTCAACCAATGAAATAATTGAAAATTTTCTCATCATGCAATTTCTACCAATTACAAGAGAGAGGAAGTGCATAGTCCGAAGACTGTAAAAAACTTCAACTATACAATACCGTCTTCCAAGGAAGACGGTAATCAAGTAACCGACCGCCTCCTGGCGGCCGGTAATAACACTGGTTCACAAATGATTGCATACATGTATTTTGTTTTGATTTTGAATAGAAAAGGTACATGTATCTATAAACAGAAACAGGTGATTTCCTTTAAATACTTGAGTAGGCCGAGTCGTCGGTAAGGCAGCTATGGCTCTTTAGAATCACTCTAAAAAAAGTTTTACTTGTTGTTTTTAAAATAAGATATTAGATTAGGAAAAACTAGTAATTATTAGTAATCCATTTAGTCAGAATAGCAAGTAAATGACTATCATGGTTAGTAATTGTAAACATAATTAGTAATAAGGATGAATTCATTTACTTATAAAATGATTTACTAAGTATCAATAGAATTACTTAAATTATAGGAATTGTATTACTTTAAGTTAGTAAATGAACTACTCATTTTTGTTAATTATTATTACTTAATCTAGAGATTATATGCTTTCTATTTACTAAATTTTATGAATTATTACTAAGTAAATGTAATTCTGAAATTAATTAAAATCTAGAATATTATTACTCAAAAGAATACTAAGTAAATGAAATACTTATCATATTTACTAAAATCGACATTATTTACTAGAAACACTGCAAGGTACCGACCCTCTGACATGTGAGTACTACTCACAGATTTCTTTATCAGAGTTCCCTTATTGGGCCCTCTGAATAGTTTAATAGAAGAAATCTACTTATTGTGGAAACAATTATACTTTCTATTTCTTTTGCCAATTTCTTTGTAATTGTTTTATTATATATAACAATGAAACATTTGATTCCACCTACGAAAGCCTTAAAAATTGAATAAGTTGTATCTTTTTAAAGACCATTTTAAATATGGTTAAACATTTCAAGTACTTAATATCGCATTTTAATTAGTGTTACTTTTTTTCACATGCCGGAATATTTAAAAGAAAGATAACTCCTCCTCACAGACAATTAGTGATTAGACTACCATATTTAAGTAATTTACTGATCTGAATTCTCCTTGATTTAGTAAATACATTCTTGTTTTAAGTAAATCAATTAAATGAAATTCAAACAAGATGTGTTTGTGAAACACTTACGCCCTGTATGCAACATAGCAAAGGTTAAACTTTTCTTATATGCAAATTTAAATTATTGGGATTTCTTGATATCTCCAAGGTCAAAAGGTCAAGGTAATTGGTATCTAATGAAAGGTCTTGCCACAAAAAATACATATGTGAAATATGGAAACACTTGCCTCAACCCTTCAGAAGTTATGGTCAAGGTTACCAATTTTGAAATGTAGGTCAAACTCCAAGGTCAAGGACAAAGTGGCAGATTTGGTGATACTCAAAGAAAGGTCTTGTCACAAGGAATACACGTGTGAAATATGAAAGTCATAGCTCCGCTACGTTAAAGTTTCTGCGGATAAACAGACAAACAGAGAGACAGCTAGACAGACAGACGGACACGACAAAAACTATATACCCCCGAAAATTCGTTTACGGGGGCATTAAAATAATAATTATATAGTAAATAGTGGTAAAATGTAAGTAAAGACCAAGTAATGTTATTACTTATATACACAAATTCAAGTAAATATAAATTACTAAGTAAAACGTTTAAGTATGTAAGTAAAACAATTCTTTAAAATACAAAAATCAAGTAAAACATTTGAATCTAGTAATTATGTTCCCCAAACGAAGTTGGGGAACATATTGACTCTGTTTCTTATTATTATTATTATTATTATTATTTTTCTTCTTCCTGGGAAAATCTTTTCCGCGAATGATCTTGTAAACTACACATTTGATTAAGGTGAAACCTTTTTAGGGTCACTAGGCATGTTATGTAGATTTGCGGAACGAAGGTCATTTTGCGCTCACGTGCTTGCAAGAGCGTGCACGTGCAACACGTGAAATGACCAATTTAATGAATATAGCCGTATTTTTTTCAATTTTTGATGAAATGCTTTGAAACTCAAAATGTAAGGATATATAAGTAGAAAAGACAAGATGACATAGTCAAAATAGCAAGATCTCACGCGCATGCACGTGCACTTCCATCTGAAAGTCTCAATATCTTTCTTGTTTTTTGACAAAATCCTTTGAAATTTTAAACATAGTCATAAATTAGGAAGATCTACAGCATGGTATATAAGAATTATCCTGAAAGCATGTGCATTCACGTGTGCTTGCAAGAGCGCGCACGTGCAACACCAGAAATGTCCAATATAATTGATATAGACGTAACTATTTATATTCTTGATGAAATGTTTTGAAACTCATAATATAAGGATATATTAGAAGCATAGACAAGAGGACATGGTCAAATTAGCAAGATCTCACGTGCATGCACGTGAGCTTCGCTCTGATTGGCTGAAACTAAAGTCTCAATATCTTTCTTGTTTTTCAACAAAATCCTTTGAAATTTTGAACATGGTTATACATTATAAAGATCTGCAGCATGGTATATAAGAATTATCACGAAAAGCATGCGCATGCACGTGTGCTGCAATCTGATTGGCTGAAACTTTAAATGTCCATAACTTTCTTAGTTTTCAACGAAACGGGATACAATTTAGACTATAAATAGGTATAAAAGATTCCTACATAATTTTCCTATCAAAATGAATGCACGAACAGGCATTCATGCAAGTGCACGCGCGAAATACGAAAAATGGCCAATTAAAAAAAAAAAGTAAAATGACAGTTATATATATTGTAAAGAATTTTTTTTAATTTATTCTCACGATACATAGATATTTTATTGTTTAGACATCATCATCATGCCATATTCATCTTGCATGTGCATGCACGTGCGTGCGCGTACAATGCGTTAAATGACATATAGTTGATGTCATTGTAGCTTTTATAATTCTTTGATGAAATCCTTCGATACTGATCATATTTTTAAAAATGTCTTACCGGAATTTGGCACAAAAAGGGATTTGGGGAGCGTTTGGGGAACATCTGTAACGGTCCCCGTTACAATTAGCACTAGTTGACATATATTTCAGTATTTGATTTTAAATTTTAAGTAAATGCTTAGTAATTATCTATTACTTATCTTTGTTATTTCAAGTAAAAAATGACTACTAAGTAAAACTTTTTTAAGAGTGATAATATCCTTCGTGAATAGCTCTAATCTTTCAATGTATTTGACTCCAGTCTTTGGCATTTTTTTTCTCATTAATTTCGTTTCTCTTATAATTTCTTTTCAACTTCCAATTTTTGGCATGATATTAAAATGTGCATCTGATGCATCAAAACTGTTAACATTTATGACATACATTTTGCATATATGTCCCTGCTTACAATATAAATCTCTATTTTAAACATGTAGAACTTATATATATTCTAAACTTATAGAAGCAAATGATTTGGACATTGAAGTCAAAAATTCAAAAGAACCTCATCTAGGGGGAATGTTGGACGGAGATGAAAGAGAAGGGGGAAAAGAAGAAAAGACGCAGGGTAAATGTATGTATATATATATATATATATATATATATTATATATATGAAGAGAGAGAGAGAGAGAGAGATAGAAAGCACAGCAAATTCACTCTAATAAGGATACTCACTTCCGCCCCAACCCGGGGTTGAACTCTCGACCTACGGAATCTGTCTCCTAGCAATACATGAACAGCGCATTAGACCGCTCGGCTAACTAGGCAAGTTCAGAAATTTGCTTTCGATGCCGATCGAATTCTCACAACGTTGGCCTACACTACATGGTCATTGAGAATAGAAGTGAGATACAGTTATTTGGACATTAGTTTGTAGAGGATCGTTTCCAATACACGTTGTGATGCAATTAGTTTTTATTTATAAAGCACAATTTACAACAACTCTTTAAACTAATATAACTGCCCTAAGTGAAGAAATATTAATATAGAAAGCACAGAGAATTCTTTCTACGACTTTTGGGGCCAACCCTCGTAGTCAATCAACGAATTCGGATTTTTGAACATTTTCCTTGCCTTTAACCACCACAGATTTTATTTTTAAAAAAGAATTAAAGATATCTTTAATTTGTCGAACCCTACTAAATTCACAAGATTTTTTTTTACTGATTTCTGAGATTGAAACTGCAATTTAATTGTGTAGAATGGAATTAAATGGAATGAAAACGAGTTGCATTTATTGACTTTAGTCCAGTAGCAAAGTCAAGTAGGAAAGTAATGCATGTAGATTTTGAGCTTGAATACTGTTTGCTATCCCTATATATTTTACACCGAACATGTATCTCTGCTGTTGGACAGTCTGTTCCCCAGGATACTTGGGCCTAAAATAATATATTGTTTGTTTGCAGTTGCCGACCGACCCACTGAAAATGCACCCGACCCAAACTTTTTTTTAGCCATTTTGTAACATTATTTTTTTCTCCTATTTTCAGGATATTAGAACTGTTTCATTTTCAATTTTTGTCTTCATCAATCATTAGTTTATACAAAGAGTGCAGCTAAACCATGTATAGTAGGCCTATGAACACTGTACTAAATTCCCATCCGCCCGCACGCCCGAGATGTACTAAATCGGGAGCGGACGTATGAACTTTATACTGCATCAGCCCGCTTGGACGCACTAATTTTACCCCATTCCCTCGATTTTTGCAGATAAATGTTTTGAGAAGGTAAATACCAAATATTTCAACATATAAACAAGGCATTATTCCCTGGGACAACAAGAAATAGTCAATAAATCTGTAGGTATATGAAAAACACCACCATCGTCTTTTAACCTGAATTTCCTCTGTTTTCACGCATGAAATGATACTGTATTTTCAACTTTCCCCAATAAATTGTGCATTTTTTTTTCAGCTTAAGGATCAGATAAAAATCAAACACATTCAATGTGTTTATTTATAAGAATTAATAATTAGTATTAATATTTGTATTGAGATCATGCCGTTTATAAAGACAAAGCCAGTGTACTAAATTATTCAACACAAACTGTTCAATTGCTTACGTACAATCTAAAGGGTGTGCTTTTATTCAATAGTAGTTTTAACTGATTTTTGTTTTTATTAAATCAAAAATAAACTTAAGTTATATTTAATCATACCACAATATATTTTTACCCTTTAAAAATTCAAATTATAAATTAATTTAAATGAGTGTTAAAAATTGCTCTTAAGTACTGAGAAACTAAAATTTCAGTTAAAATCAAACCATTACTCATTACTTCTAAAATATACGTGTGAATATACCTATAAACATTGATATTATTAAATATTATATATCATGTATATCATGACCTGTTACATGTATCTGATATCTTATAATCAATGTATTTCAAATGTAAAAATTAGAAGGAAAAAATGACAATATAGGACATGTATTTCAGATTAGCAATTAATAGCGAATTTTTCATTTTTCCTATAACTTTATAATGAAGTAAACGCTGACTGAATGAATAAAATTTTAATCTTAGTAATTGCTGTGTATGAAATTCAAGTCGATGTGAAAAAATGTACAAGTCTGAATATGTGTACCCTTAATATTGAATTTTATTATGCGGGCTTGCTAATTTTCAGCAGGGCTGATAGACTTTTTGAGTAGTCAGCCCTGCTGGTCTACCTGAAATTTTTCTGAGTTTCGTACACTACATGCTATGACAAACTCTATTTTATGTTATCTAACAAAAATCTGGAAAGAATTTTAAAAAAATGCCTACCTACCTACCCAGACTAAGAATTATAGGTCGGCAACTGCAAACCAAGAATTTTTTAAGCTTGGCCTTGTCATTCGGTACCTATTCATTTAAGAGGATACAGAAAAACGAAATGATACTGACAGACGCGTCGCCCCGTATAAAAAGGCGTCACTCTTATGAGACAATAAGAGACACAGACTCGGGGAGTTCATTCGGTGCTCTTCAGATAATTTTAGGGATATTAAACATATGTTATACATGTATGTACAGTCTTCAGATTCCAAGTTTTGATATAAAACCAATGATTCATATAATGAATGGAGATAACGAACAGTATTCAAAATCAAAAGTCCATGATACAATACAAAATAAGAGAAGAGCAAACATGGACCTCCAAAAAATAAGAGGTTGGGTCAGGTGTCATGGAAGATTGAGCTTCCCCTACCGACCGGTCATACCCGCTGTGTGCTCCTTTTCATATTCGGGGAATAACGGGAAAATCCGTCGTCAATTCAGTGTTCAAATAATGGACTAACAATTCGAATGAAAAACGTCAGTCGGCATTTGACTCCAATGATAAATTGTATTTGTAGAGCATGCTCTTACGTATCGAATCAACTGAGATATATAAACTCCGTAAGCAGGTGATGAAGGTACAATAAATATAAGGTTTCTATTATAGATATATTTGAAGAATCCTTTTCCGATACCATGTCCTCTGTTTCAGAATGTTCTGCAAAAACCTGTATAACCTTTTGACATTTTGATAACTAACACTTTTTTTCACCACTAATCTTACTGGACAGAGCTTCAATACCAAAACTTGGGAAAAACTAAACTGCAAATCTTCAAATGATGTCTACGGAATAGAATGTAATTTTTGTGGACTTGTTTTGTCGGTAAAACCAAGGAACCACTAAATGAAAGAATATCAGCTCATAGATTTCAACTAAATAATAATGGTCAGCAGCTTTTATACAAATATTTTAATTTACCTGAACATTCTATTTTGTCAATGAAAGTTAGATTTATCACCATACAAACTTTTCATCACTGAGTACACTTTTCCGTATACAACGAGATGAATTTTGAGTTACAAACATAGGTAATCAAAGATTACGAAGCTCACCTCGACGAATGTTATCAGTTTAAGTAATGGAAATCTCACATAATATTTTCTTAACATTTAGTATTCATCCCAACAACAATTTTCTTGCAAGTTGTGTTTAACCCCTTACATGGCATATACACATTTCTACTCGTGTAGCATGAAAAACATGAAAAGTGTTAAAAAAATATTCATAACTTTGTTAATACTGCAGATATCAAGGACATGATCTGTTCCCAAAACTTTAACCTGGTCTCTTGTATGGAAAATATGGGTCAGATCCAGCATCCGAAGCAAGTCTGATAGTGTCCATCCTTAGATGCATAATCCATGCAAGTTTGGTTCAGGTAGGACGTATAGTTACTTGGGAATGAAAATATAGGTCAGATCCAGCATCCGAAGCTAGTCTGGTAGTGTCCATACCTAGATACATCATCCATTCAAGTTTGGTTTAGCTAGGGCCTATTGTTACTTGGGAATGAAAATGTAGGTCAGATCCAGCATCCGAAGCAAGTCTGGTAGTGTCCACCCCTAGATACATCATCCATGCTAGTTTAGTCGAAAAAAAGGGCTTCTAGTTACTTGGGAATGAAAATGTAGGTCAGATCCAGCATCCGAAACTAGTTTGGTAGTGTCCATCCCTAGATACATCATCAATGCAAGTTTGGTTCAGGTAGGGCTTATAGTTACATGGGAATGAAAATGTCGGTCAGATCCAGCATCCGAAGCTAGTCTGGTAGTGAACATCCCTAGATGCATCATCCTTGCAAGTTTGGCTCAGGTAGGGCTTATAGTTATATGGGAATGAAAATGTAGGTCAGATCCAGCATCCGAAGCAAGTCTGGTAGTGTCCATCCCTAGATGCATCATCTATGCAAGTTTGGTCCAAATAAGGCTTATAGTTTCTGTGGAATGGACCTGCTCCAAAAACTTTAACCTGGTCACTCATCTGGAAAATGTAGGTCAGATCCAGCATCCGAAGCAAGATTTGTAGTGTCTTTTCCTAGATGCATCATCCATGCAAGTTAGGACCAGGTAACCCTTATAGTTCCTTGGGAATAGACCTGCTCCAAAATCTTTAACCTGGTCACTCATCTGGAAAATGTAGGTCAGTTCCAGCATTCGAAGCAAGTCTGGTAGTGTACATCCGTAGATGCATCATCCATGCAAGTTTGGTCCGGGTAGGGCTTATAATTCATTGGGAATGGACCTGCTCCAAAAACTTTAACCTGGTCACTCATCTAGAAAATGTAGGTCAGATCCAGCATCCGAAGCAAGTCTGGTAGTGTACATCCCTAGATGTAACATCCATGCAAGTTTGGTTCAGGTAGGGCTTATAGTTACTTGGGAATGGACTTGCTTCTAAAACTTTAACCTGGGACGCTGACGCTAACGCCGACGCCGGAGGTATAGCATAAGCTCATCTCGACTTCGTCAAGGTGACTTAAAAATAGGGACAGCCTTTCCTTGTGGATGTAATGACAATGTCGATAGTGCTGGAAATCTTTCGAGTCCACAGAATAACAATGTAAATGTGATGGGACTTTCGAACCATAGACAGAGATTTAATACACGATTTCTCTTTTGATTCATTACTACCTTACCAGTTAGGTCTGCATCATATTCGCACCGAACTTTACTCTGTCCCTTTGAAACTTTTAAATAGTCTTCTTGAAAAGGTCAAGGAAAGTCCATTTTTTTTATTCCTGGACTCCAGAATATAGGCTGTGATTGTGAATATTGCAGATCATATGATTTTTAAACCCCCTCTTTTTGCAGAAGAAAATGCAACTAAAACAATCCGTCTTTTTCTTCAACTTCAATATGCCAATAAAGGTATTGACGCGGTTAATATAAGTAATATTTTTAATCACAAAAGAGCCAAGTCTTGTATTCCACCATATTTTAAGTTAGACTACACCTTGTATTTCCTACAATTATACATCGACTATTGTTTCAAACTTTTCATTTCAAGAACACATTACAGGGCCTAGGTATCGAATATCTGTTCAAAACATAATCCTCCATCGTGTTTATGTTTTTTTCTGTTGGTCACGCTATTACAGGTGACGTAAATTAAGTTAATAATGAGGACCTTAGATCACTCTTTCGAAAGGTCGTAAATACGTGTATAGCGAACCCCGATCCTTCAACTGGCGTTGAAATGACATAAATATTATGGATTCTGTAGATGACCATCTGTAGATGGGCCAGATATGAAAAATGAACGTTGGTACCTTGTCAGTATGGATTAAATGTATTAGATCCATGTTACAATTGCGTATTAGGAGATTGAAGGGCAATATGAAGACAATTTTTCCTTCTTTAGTAAATAATTCAGAAGTTAAAAAAATATACAGATTGAATCAGTATTTACTGGTCCCTGCTGACAAGCAAGTAACAACATTGTCTTCGTTTATAAGGCTCGTCATATAAAATGTATTTAGAACTTCAATTTAATTCTACGAGTGGTAATCCAACTTTTACTCTTAGTTCCCCTTCTAAAGAAGAAATTCTTCAAAAGCATATATCAGTTTGGAATATTTTTAATATCCAAAAAACTAAATGAAATTGAATTACCATATCTATATTGGATTCCGAACTTCATAAAACACTTTACAAAGAAATATACATAGTGAGTTCTTGTAAATGTTTAACCAAGCCTTTTTGTTTACTCCTCACTTATAACAGTATTATTAAGTTATTAACAGTAATCCTCTTCTTCTTATTAATTCAGATAAAAATGATGCTCCTGAAGATGCAAACCATTACAATGTGTTGACAGCACTTCTTTTTGCTGCTGAAAATGGAAATGAAGAATTCCTAAAACTACTTCTAAATGAAAATGCTGATGTAAATTTATTTGACAAATTAGGAAATTCTCCGCTTCATTCTGCAGCAAAGTATGGTAGATTAAACATCATCATATATCTTATGAAGCACGGTGTAAATCTAAATTTGACTAACAAAGATGGAAGAAATATTCTGCATATAGCAGCAATTTACGGTCAGGAGAATATCGTTTCCTTTCTGTTATCTCAAAAACTTTCCTCTGATACGGAAGATTATCAAGGATTGACAGCTATTTGTTTAGCCACATTTTATGGCCATACAAATATAGTAAAACTATTGCTAAATCATATTGACAGCGTGGACAAACAATACAGATCAGAGGAAACTTTACTAATGATGGCAACTTATAATGGGCAGTTTGAAGTGGTTGAGTTGCTTTTAAAAGCTGGAGCAAAACTTAATTTGAAACAATGCGATGGAATCTCTTCTCTTATGATTGCAGCAGGACTTGGAAATGAACAAATAACTAAGGAGTTATTAAAATACGGTGCCGATGTAAACCAGCAAAACAAAATGGGTGCCACTGCTTTCATGGTAGCATGTTATAATGGTCACAGAGAAATTGTTGAACTACTTTTTAATAACGGTGCAACAATTAACGTAAGAAATAATGCTGGACAATCCGCACTTTACCTAGCAGCAGCATGTGGACACGTCACCGTATCCAAGTTTCTTCTCGATCACGGGGTCAACATAGATGACTGTGATATTCAAGGACGCAGTGCCTTAATGATTGCTTCTGTCAAAAACCATGGTGATGTTGTTCAACTATTGCTAGACAACAACGCAGATGTCAATCTCAAAGACAGCGATGCGGGTGCCACTGCACTTATGTTTGCAAGTAAATACGGTCGCAACGCAATCGTTAATCTACTAATTGAGCACAATGCAACGATTAAAACTAAAAATAATGCTGGACAATCTGCACTTTTCCTCGCAGCAGCATGTGGACATGTGACAATAGCCAAGATTCTTCGCGATCACGGGGCCGACATAGATGACTGTGATATTCATGGACGCAGTCCCTTAATGATTGCTTCTTCCGAAAACCACGCTGATGTTGTTAAACTTCTGCTAGACCATAATGCAAGTGTCAATTTTAAAATCTGGGGAAAACGTGAAAACATTCCAGAGGCCGACAAATTATCTCCAAAAAAGAATGCAGATGTAGATGAATCTAGAGAAGACTTATCTCAATACAATGGTTGGACGGCTCTTCATTTTGCTGCTATGAATGGAAATGAGGAAATTTTGGAACTGCTTCTAAAGCATAAAGCTGATTTTACGATAGAGAATCATCAGGGATTAACTCCTATTGTTCTAGCTACATATAGTGGTCATACAAACATAGTAAAATTATTACTAAGTCATGTTGACAGCGTTTACAAACAATACAGATCAGATGCATCTTTACTAATGATGGCAACTTCTAAGGGGCAGTTTGAATTGGTAAAATTGCTTTTAGATGCTGGGGCAGAAGTGAATATGCAGCAGAACGAAGGAATCTCTTCTCTTATCATTTCAGCAGGACTTGGTAACGAACAAATATAACTAAGGTGCTTTTGAAATTCGGTGCCGATGTAAACCAAAAAAACAAAATGGGTGCCACTGCTCTTTTGGTAGCATGTCAGAATGGTCACGAAAAAATTGTTAAATTACTCTTTGAGCACAAAGCAACAATTAACGTTAAAAATAATGCTGGACAATCCGCACTTTACCTAGCAGCAGCAAGTGGACACGTGGCCGTATCCAAGTTTCTTCTCGAACACGGGGTCAACATAGATGACAGTGATATTCAAGGACGCAGTGCCTTAATGATTGCTTCTGTCACAAACCACGGTGATGTTGTTAAACTATTGCTAGACAACAACGCAGATGTCAATCTCAAAGACAGCGATGCGGGTGCCACTGCACTTATGTTTGCAAGTAAATATGGTCACAATGCAATCGTTAATCTACTAATTGAGCACAACGCAACGATTAAAACTAAAAATAATGCTGGACAATCTGCACTTTTCCTCGCAGCAGCATGTGGACATGTGACAATAGCCAAGCTTCTTCTCGATCACGGGGCCGACATAGATGACTGTGATATTCATGGACGCAGTCCCTTAATAATTGCTTCTTCCGAAAACCACGCTGATGTTGTTAAACTTCTGCTAAACCACAATGCAAGTGTCAATTTTAAAATCAGGGGAAAACGTGAAAACATTCCAGAGGCCGACAAATTATCTCCAAAAAAGAATGCAGATGTAGATGAATCTAGAGAAGACTTATCTCAATACAATGGTTGGACTGCTCTTCATTTTGCTGCTGTGAATGGAAATGAGGAAATTTTGGAACTGCTTGTAAAGCATAAAGCTGATGTTACGACAGAGAATCATCAGGGATTAACTCCTATTGTTCTGGCTACATATAGTGGTCAAACAAACATAGTAAAATTATTACTAAGTCATGTTGACAGCGTTAACAAACAATACAGATCAGATGAATCTTTACTAATGATGGCAACTTCTAAGGGGCAGTTTGAATTGGTAAAATTGCTTTTAGATGCTGGGGCAGAAGTGAATATGCAGCAGAACGAAGGAATCTCTTCGCTTATCATTTCAGCAGGACTTGGTAACGAACAAATAACTAAGGTGCTTTTGAAATTCGGTGCCGATGTAAACCAAAAAAACAAAATGGGTGCTACTGCTCTTTTGGTAGCATGTAAGAATGGTCACGAAAAAATAGTTAAATTACTCTTTGATCACAAAGCAACAATCAACTTTAAAAATAATGCTGGACAATCCGCACTTTACCTAGCAGCAGCAAGTGGACACGTGGCCGTATGCAAATTTCTTCTCGATCACGGGGCCGACATAGATGACTATGATATTAAAGGGCAGAGTCCCTTAATGATTGCTTCTGACCAAAACCATGCTAATGTTGTTCAGCTATTACTAGAAAACAAGGCAGATGTCAATCTCAAAGACACCAATGCAGGTGCCACTGCACTTATGTTAGCAAGTGAATGTGGTCACAACGGAATCGTTAATCTACTAATTGAGCACGGCGCAATGATTAACACTAAAAATAATGCTGGACAATCAGCACTTTTCCTCGCAGCAGCATATGGACATGTGACAGTAGTCAAGTTTCTTCTCGATCACGGAGCCGACAAATATGACTTTGACATTTATGGATTTAGTCCCTTAACGATTGCTATTGCCGAAAACCATATTGATGTTGTTCAATTATTACTACACCACAAAGCAAAATTCAATATTTAAGAGGTGTTGAATAACTGCTCCTCACATTGCCTTATACCTAAACTTTCATAAGATTGTAAAAATATTGCTGAAAAAAGAAACCAGATTTTAAAATTTTTATTATGAGAATGTTTTTCTGCATTTCCCAAAGCTTTTAGACGTGGACACTTTGTTGTTACCAGATCGTTTAGAAAGCATGCATTGGACGCTCAATTACCTATACAAATGCTGATAAGGCACTTGACTCTGCTGCTGTTTACGGCAATGAACATATCATTTTACAACTCTTCCAAAAAACGAATGAAACGTGAACGCTTGAAACGAAAACAAAGAAAGTGCATTGTTTCATTAAGGCGTTAAATTAGAGTTTAAAAATTTTAATTAAACATGTATATAAGATTGAATGCAGTTGTTTAATCTGCCCATTTGAATGTACATACCTGTACTGATTGTTACATTAATAAGCTGAGTAACAATATAATACTGAACGTGTTAAAACATGTTGCTATCTTTAAACATTTTGTTGCATATATTTTTTTTAACTTTTGTACCATATGACATATTTAGATTCATGGTCATTCTAATAAGCCGTTCTTATGAAGACTTTTTCATATAAATTATGAGGAATGACTTTAGTGAAAATAATTTTGGATATATGGCGTTATACAACAGAAATACAGTTATTGTTGTTATACATTGGGAATGAATTTAAACGCCATGCAAGTTTTAGTGTATAACTTTGGTTTGGGAAGTTTACTCGTTAACTCAGGTTATACATCTGTACATGTACCAATAAAACATGTAAAGCTTTTAAATTCGTTCCTTATAATTTAATTTTCATTCACAAAGAGTAGAAATAACACGGTTTCATCTTCAAAAATGCATACAAATCGTACGTCTTTTTTTTTATTTTTAATGTAACGTCAAGCGTATTGATATATTTTTGCTGTTGTTGTTGTCATTTAATGTATTTGATTAAATGAATGACGCGTTACAAACAAAATTAAATTATAATAATGCGAAAAAAACATAAAAATTGAAAGGAACAAGTGTATGTACATGTTTAAGGTGATTATGTGAAAAATGCTATTTTCAATATTTTGTCTAAATGTAATTTTATGATTTTTATGGCTTATGATAGAGATGTTATAGAAATCATGAAGAATTTTGTAAAAGTTGACCTTCTGATGTCACCTTTTAATATCTAAATACGACAAAGAGGGAAAATAGAGGATATTGAACAATTCCTACGGGATTTAAAGATCTAAACTGCTTTTCCATACTTAAACTTGTTCATGACTTTGTTACAAATGATTTTAAGGTTTTTATTTTGACTGTGCTTACATACTTTTTTCTCGCTTAATAAATACTAAAAGAACTTGTGAAAACGATAGGAAAAGCTATGCATTAAAAATTCAGATTGCTTCATGAGTTTCATTGTACCAAAAGTGGAAATCATTTGTAACAACGGCTAGTACAGCTGTAATATGATTATACGTTATATTTGCCGCTTTGCCGCTTATACCGCTTTCTTAACAATGTTTTCTTGTTCTTAAAAGACAATATTATGACAAAAATGTGAATGTGTTAAATATTATTTCATTGTTACAAATGTGTTAATTTTGATTCATTTTACCAGCTGCAGACTAGAAAGGTCAGTGTAACACTTAACAATTCAAATTTCTAAAACGATTTTAAAGTTTTAGAATGTTAATATATTACCGTATAATCCTTATTTACCGCCCCTGCCCCTATAAGCGCCCCCTTAGGTATTTTTTAATTGTCAGGAAATAAGGGCCCCCTGTACAATTATTAAAATCAACTAGAATCGTATCAAAAAATTGGATAAAGTGAAAATAAAACTTGTCTATTATCCAATTTCTCAGTGGAAAATGAATATTTTAGCAAAATTTGGGTGGATTATCCTCACTTTAAGAAAAGCTATAAACAATTTTAGTGGTTCTTTGTATTTATTTGTTTTATTTAAAGATATTTTAAGTTAAAATATGACATTAAATATCATAAAGAGAATACAACAATAACCGCCCCCTTTTCACAATTTTCTAAGCGCCAAGAGCGCGGTTAATAGGGATTATTAGGTAATATTTGTGTATATATTTTTCATATATTTTTCATATATTTTGTTAAAAGTGACATATAGGTCCGATGGGCCGGGTGTTTGGATATTAATTGTATTAAATGTTTTTCATTGTACTGTATAACACATGTCACTATAATAAACAATTTACTTACTTACTTACTTACTTATACGGTAGTTCAAATTCCTAACTTTCAAAAACTCAAACTGATTTGATACAATCTGCATATTGAAATTTAATATATTAGTTCAAAAAATCTAAATTTTCAAATAGGTTTTAGAAATTTTAGATTTAAGATTTTTTTCCTTAAATTTTCAAAATTCAAATTCAAACGATTAATGGAATTTAAACGTTTGAGTTTTTAGTGTACCGTTTCTTCAGAAAGTTTCAACAATCTATTCTTCGATAATATTTTTCATCTTTTGATTTTTTTGAAATTAGCCTCAAACTTCTAAAATCCAACTTTTAAATGTTTAAGATTTTTAGAAATTTGGAATTTTTATTCACATGTTCTAATTTCTAATAACTTAACACTATATGTTTTTAGAATTTTACTTTAAATATCCAAAATTTAAAACAGGTATGGAATTTGATATTTTGGATATTTGAAGTAAACTTCTAAAAACTCAAAATGTACAAAAGAGATTTGGTTATTTAAAAGTTGAGTTTTTAAATCAAAATTCTAAATTTCTAAAAATCAAAAGCGTTTGAAAGTTGGAAGTTTGAAGTAACTTTTAAAAAAAAATCAAAAGACGAAAATGTTATGTCGAATTTTAGATTGTTGAGCATAAACTTTCGAACAAACGGTAGATTAAAAACTCAAAAGTTTAAAATACAAAATTTGTCTTTGGTAAAAAATTTGAATTTTGAATATTTCAGGTAAAAATCTAAAAACTCAAAATGTTAAACCTGTTTGGAAATTTGAAAGTTTAGGTTTTCTTAAATATTAAATTCCAATAAACGAAATCAGTTTGAGATTTTGAAATTTAGACATTTGAACTATATTATAAATATTCTAAAACTCTAAATCCTTTTAGAAATTTTTATCGTAATGTGTTAAACGGACCTAGAAATCTTATGTTTATGCTATTCTGATTAAATCTTTTAATGTAAATAGAAGACCAATTCTGACATATATCATTAACTTAATTTATGCTCTAATCAACATTATTTTTCGTTGTTGTTGTATTTTGGACGTTTTTAAGTGCTGATTTTTATCATAGAAATTTTTGCATTTAATTGTATATAAATCGTATACTAAAGTATGAAATGTAATTTAATATACCGTGTAAGTGGAAATTTTTAGCAAGACGCAAATTTAGCGATTTCTCCTAAATGGTATTTTATTTTTGGGGAGATGTAATTTAAGCGACTTGTAAATGATCACTTAAAAAGCTATTACAAATTAAAAAAAAAAGATTCATTTTTAGCGATATCTAATTTTAGCGATTCCAGCACCATCGCTAATAATTCAAAAATTAAATCAGTGCTAAATATTCTACTTATGCGAAAACTAGCAAATAAAGGAATTTAAAAAAAAATAATATAAATACGTATGCTATTTTCTTTGCCTCTTTTGACAGAAGCTTTCTATATATGTATCGAATCTATCGAGGTAAATGAAAACATATTTTCCAAAAATGAATAAAGGAATAACAATGAATCTGAAAAGTGGATGTTAGTTTACTTGTCTCATTAATCAGAGATGAGACGCTGTACTTTTTCCCAACAAAACACTTTATATTTTTTTTCAAAGACTAAGCATAATTAAAAAGAAATTCATGAGGTCTATGCGTTTTCGTTTTGATTTACCGGGTATTTCCAGGGAATTTGCGGCATATTTTATGATTGTAAAAAAAAATTTGAAAAGGAATATGGTAAAAATTATATAATATACTGGTATCATACAGAAATGCCACCGCAATATGCTAACAAACTCATATTTTTCTTCTAAGCATTTCTTTCAAATAATGAATAAATTGAATTAAAGTGCCATTATTTAAAAAGACTCAGCAGAATACATTGAAGCGCATAGCGTACAATGTCTATAGGCTTTTAAGGATGTATTGCTGCTGAGCTCGATATTATTTGGCATGTCTTAAACTTTATAAAATTTGGCAATTTTTATTAGTGTGTTCATTATTTGAAATAAAGAAGAAAAGCATATTTTGAGATCCAAGGCATTGAAAAGATTGCAGCAGGACCAGACTTCTGCTTTGAATTTAATTGGCATAGTAAATAAATCGAAAGTTTCTTTTTTTTAAAAACTCTTCTTAATATATAAGAGGACTACCGAAATTACAAAAAGTCAAAATTAAAAAAAAATAAAGGTTTAGTGAGCCAAAACTTTATGCACATGTAAATGGATAAAACCAAAGGAGTTCTCTATAAATGGCTTACACATCAGCAGAATCATCGATCTACATCCTTAAGAAAAAATAGCAGTGTGTTTCCTTACTTTCAGGTTAATGTAATCAACAACAGAATTCACAGCAACTACTATGGTTATAACATGAGTTATAGTTTACATTAAATCAATAATTGCCAAAAGTGTTTAATTAGCCAAATGAATTATACTTAAAAATGCAACTACAAAATATTTTGATTTTATCTTTATTTTACGTTATCTTACATGATAAAAATACGTATTACCAAATGTATACAATCTTATTCAAATTCATTCTATGAAATTTTCTCAATACAAATTAACTTGCTCCAAAAGTTTAAATAAACAGTTAATAGAATTAATTATCCGCTTTGTAAGAGTATAAGGTGATTTGAAATTTTGCAGCGCTGCATAAAATATTTTCTACCTTTAATGTTATGCCTTTTCAATAGAGTTATCATGTCAAATGAATTTTTTCTCTGGTGTATCAAACAATTTTACATAATGTCTTTAAGATTCAGAGTAAAATATAAAATTAATAGGTCATATTCAAATGATTCCCTCTATTAATTGACGCACGTAATTTAAAAAAAAAAAGCCCATCGAGCCCTAACGTCTTTGTGTATAATATTCTGATAGTAGCTAGAGATAAGAAATTGAATCAATGCATACACATGTACAAAGTCTTATCAGTTGGTAAATCAAAATGGCGACTACTGTCCAAACAATAGCGGGACTGTCCCTCCTGATTCATACCGTGTTGTTTACGTCTCTGAACCTGTATCTCTACTTCCGGTCCCTGTCTCTCAGTCAGGAATATCAGCAGGAGACTGAGGTCCTAGATCTACTGATAGACAACTGTGAAACACGTAACAAGGAATGGAGTCTGGTCTGTAGAGAAATATATATTTGTTTATTTAAATATTTATTTACTTACTAGCATTTATTTATTTATTGTTCGTTTGTTTATCAATTATTTTTATTTAGTTGATTTACATTGTATTTTATTAACCCGTCTTGATAAATTTATTTGTATGTCAAAAATTTAGACTTAACTGCATAATGCTGAACTATAATCTTATATGTTCATAATACATATATCGTTAATCTAATTATTTTTAAGGATCAAATCCACGATCTCCAAACTTTATATTCCACAAAAGAGGATGTACACATCAAAACCCAAAAAAGACAATTGTCTCCCCTAGAAATGATGATGGCAGACCTCCTTAAAGCTCAGGTACTATGATGAATTACTTCGAAGATTAGAATCTGTAAGAACATAGAACGAGAAACTGAAAATATATTTATATTCCTAATCTTCATGATAATGTAAATTTCGATTATGTTGATAATACATTTTCTAATATAGTATTACTCATTTATAGGAAAAAGTTTTGGAGCAACACTGCATCAATAACACCAGGCTATGTGTGCACGGTATGCATATTTTGCATCAAGTTATTGAAGAGGCTCTCTCTCTCTCTCTCTCTCTCTCTCTTGACTTCCTTCGTTATAAGAAATATTAATAAATTCCAGGTGCAAAAGGAGACATTGGACTCTTTGGATTAAAAGGTGAGTATATAGAAATGAAAACCTGTTGAAAACACATATTTTTCATTTAAATTCATTAATTCATATTCTGTTCATGTTTTATTCTGAAATACCATACTGAAAACATCAATTCAATTCTTTATTTCAAATTCTGTTGTTTACATACTCCTTCCTTCTTTATTCATTTTTCGCGTTTTCCCTGAAATTGCACGCTTAGAAATTGTAAGCTTCGTTATAAGAACATTATTTAACAAACCAAAATAAAACTATAGGTACCCCCGGGGAGAAGGGAGACCCTGGACAACAACCACAAAGAGGCCCGCCAGGTATATCCGGACGTAAAGGGGAATCCGGAATAAAAGGCGGAAAAGGAGCCGAAGGCCCCATGGGCAATATTGGAAAGCTTGGCGAAAACGGTGATACTGGTTTAAAGGTAAAAAAAAAAACCTTAATGTTTTCTTTTCTTTTAAAAACACGGAAAGCTTCAAATGTAAACTTTCTTTTTTAAGAAATATATGAATATTTTGATATAATTCATTTTAATGACGTCTTGTTTTATTTCCTTTTATTTTAGGGTCCAAAAGGAAACAAAGGTGATACAGGAGTTAAAGGCTCCAGTGGAGATCCGGGTACTTCCGGTGCAAAGGGCGATTTAGGACCATTCGGACTTCCGGGTGCTCAGGGAGACCCAGGGACATCCGGAGAGAAGGGCGATATTGGAAATAAGGGTAAGCTGTGGATTTTGTTTTTTGTAAATATTTATCAGATAATATTCAGATAATTTTTCGGAAACATTATGCTGACTTGCAACAGTGTGCTTCTTAGCGAATAAAAAGACAGATTTTCTAATTATTATTGTTAAAGTCGTATGTTTGATCGTATGCTAATGTATATATTTTTGTTATTATGTAGGATCCCAAGGGCTTCCAGGTGATAATGGTGACATCGGTCCTAAAGGAAATTCAGGAAAAGGACTTAATCCAAAGTGTCTTTGTAAAGGTTTGTATCTACAATGCAAACAAAACAACGACTTACAATGTACATGTATATTAGAACCTTGCAACAGCTCTTGGCTTCGAAGAAAGAATTAATTTTGTTCTCTTACAGCTCCAAAGCAAACGAGTAACCTAATTCAGAGCAGAATTCTGGACAGAATTATGATGGCGTGTCCGATAGGCAATGGTACATTGGTCAATGTTACATGGTCGAAAGAAGGGTCTTCACAAGTTCCGGAGAGAATGGTCCAAAATGGAAACGATCTCCTTGTACCGGAAGTGTATCCAGGGGACGCTGGGAAATACAGGTTAGAATTTTTTCGTACTTGAAATATGTTTTTCCCGATATATTCAGAGGTATTTTTCTATGTATGAATAAAAAATTGTGTATTGATATTTAGGTGCAGTGCGCAGGTATTAGATTCCAATGGTACTACTGTAACAGTGCAGAGTAATTTCGAAATTAAAACACCAACAGGTGAGTACTAATTTGATTTTGGTTTTGAATTTCCATTGTTTGAACAAATTAGAATGAATTATCCGAAATCATATTATTGAAATTAAAGAGTTTATTATTTTCCTTGTTTTTATTTTTATTTGTTGCTGGCTTTTTCTTTTTCTGCATTATAAATGATAAGATGGACTGCTTCTATGCAAAGGCCGATAACTCGAAGATTACTTTTATATATAAAGTCAATTTTAAAAAAAAGATTTAATTATCTCCTTCAGAGTGATTTGTATCAGTTTTCCTTGTATGATAATTTAGCTGTTTTCTTTTTTCTCTCTCTCCATTTTTTTTTTAGAAATAATTTGGTTTCTACTGGCTGAGGGTCTTCCTCTCCTACATTATTTATATGCAGTTTCTTTACAGGTGTGGACAGCCATGACTGTGATTTTGAGAAAGATCTCTGTACATGGACACAGAGCAAGGGAGATAACTTTGACCTATTACGTCATCAAGGATCTACCATAACAGCCGTGACAGGTCCCGCCTCCGACCACACGATAGGGGGAAGTAAGTCTTGGCGTATAGATGATATACAAAGTTATCTTCCTTTGCAAATAGTACATGTATCATTAAAGAACATGTCAGCACGATGAAATGACAAAAGCAGACTTTAAAGTTTACTTCATTAAATTATTCTTACGTATTTGTAAAATTTAAGTCATTCAAAACGTTGACTTCAATTAAACTAGAATATTTGATTTCAATACCAGACCCTGGTGGATATTATTTATTCCTGGAGTCATCTGACCAACGAAAAGGAGACAAGGCCGTTCTGGTATCCTCGGACTTTTTCAATACCCAGCCTCAGTGTTTGACGTTTTGGTACCACATGTTTGGCAGGGATACAGCGTCTTTGAGAGTCATTCTGGTAAGAAACATGCAAGTACAGCAGTAAAAAAACATTGTACACTTTTTTTTTCTAAACAAATAATAAACCCTTTTCCTATACCATATTTTGCCTAAAAGTTAGGCTGCCACCATATTGTATGGAAACATTCCAATATCCCATCATTATTAAATCAAGTTCATTTTGTTATTCTGGTTACTGAGGTAAAGATAACACTATTTTTCCTATGAATAAACGTTTGTTAAAGCCTCTAATAATTCATAATTTTAAGATTGTCAATATTTTCCCCCATATATCTCTTGCATTCATGTTTAAAATTGGTTGCTCAAAAAGGTAAATTCACTACTGTGTCCTACAAGATGGCGACCAAGGGGGAATAACCCCTCGGCAACATATGTCAAGGGACTATTCCTCTCTTAGTTTTATATTTCGTGTCTTATCTTGCAATTTTTACAGTAATATTATAGTTCTATAGTCTATATAATGTCGAATGTTATTCAAAACTAAATTTGAAAATTTATGCAATATTGATTTTATCTTTATTTTATTTTATTTTCAAATTTCTATATATAGCAAGGAAGTTCTAACAGCACGATTTGGACAAAATCTGGAGATCAAGGAAACAGCTGGCAAAGAGCAGTTATCGAAATTCCTACGTCAGTAAAACGTCATCAGGTACTGCTGGAGGTCACAGAGGGCGCTAGTTACCATGGTGATATTGCTATCGATGACATCATTGTCTTAGATGGACCTTGCAATACGTATGTTCCATTTTCTAAAAAAAAGTTCTAAAGAAGCAGAAAAGACAAATTTCATTTGGGTGAAATATTTCTAATAAAATGAGAGTATTTTAGCCCGTTATGGCTCATTGAACATCAAACTATTACTCTTTTCATCTTAATTTTTATATACATTTTCAACTCACGAATACATATATAATTCGGGCTCTGTATTATCTTGGTATGTAATTAAAAGTCCGAAAAAATGATGTAATTGAAGATCACATCCTGTGAAAAATTCCACTCTTACAACATGTTGGACCCCTGACATTATGAGGATGAGAAAATTAATTTTATTTATTATTTTTCAGATTCAACAAAACACCACAATGAAGTGACCTTGACATTCGAGAACATTTTTTGAATTTACATATATGTACATGTACTTTAAATAAATCTGATTTTTCATTCTGATGTTTTTTTTTTATTTTTAAATTAAATGATAAAAATAGTTTATCTTTTCATCATCTTAAGTTTTCAATGAGTACAACATTGAAATTTTGCAATTCATGAAAGAGAGAATTATACGAGTTATTTTACCAATTCCAAACGCCATTGTGTTGGCATTGACATGTGAAGTAAATGACCCTCCATCAGTTTGTTTTAATGGTACATAAATCAGTTTTACTGCGTGGCACAGTAGTTAGAGCGTCTGCTCTAGGGTCACAAAGTAAGGAGTCAATCCTTATGTCTGGGGTTTGAATCCCACTGTGGGACGTACAGACCGGTCCTTCGGATGAGACCATATTAATCGAGGTTCTGTGTCGCAGTAGGTGTTGGTGCGAACAACATCCCTCCCTGCGTGACGAGTATAGGACAAATTTTGTAGCTCTTCACAAGTGGTGGCGTCTCCATATAAGTGAAAAATTCTTGAGTGGGACGTTAAACAACATATAATCAATCGATCCCCCATTCTAGGGAGAGGGAGATGAGCCCTTTCCAGAAAATATCAGATTTTTTAAAAATCGGACAGGGCTACATTATTGCAGCTACAAAACATAATTTACATTTTATTATACTAATATCATATGCAGGCACTGCAAATGGAGTGTAGATTAAAGGTTGTACAAATTATGTCTCCAGACTTGATATATTTTGTTCCCCTCCAAAAGTGGGCGTGTTTCGTTCTGTCTGTCCGTCCGTCGTTAGTTCTGTCTGTGCGCAATGCTTTCGTTTCCACGCGATATCTAGAGAACCCTTTGAGCTTTCGCAATGAAATTTTACACAATAACTCTCCATGGCCTAAGAAAGATCTCTATTGATTTTGAAATCAAAAGGTTAAAGGTTATAAATTTCTGTTTTAACATTTTTGTTTCTATCCAATATCTCGAGAAACCGTTAAGTTTTTGTAATGATATTTTATATCACAACTTCTTATGGCATAGAGAAGACCCCTTCTTTTTTTGAAGTCAAAGGTCAAGGTTGTAAATTCATACACTTTTTTGTGTGTAAAACTCATCTGGGGGCAATTGAATAATATACCATGATGAAAACTAACTATGCCTCCATCCTGTCCATCCCTCTGTTCGGTTATATTTCTGTCTGTCTTTAACACTTTCATCTCCAAGCGGTATCCCAAGAAACTTTCAACTTTGCAATTAAATTCTACATGACAAAACTCCCTATGGCCAAAAAAAGACACCTATTGGTTTTGAAGCAAAAAGGTGAATTAGAGGCTTATCTGGACACACTAAGTTTCTTGTGAAATTTTGTAATGTGATGTAAACATGTATACGATATGTATTTATCCTGTTGTTTGCATTTAATTCCTCGCTATATCAAGTTAGTCGATGGGGAAAGATTCTCGCTTAGAAAGCAGAAGGTCCACGGTTTAAATGCCAATTGAGCCTTTTTCTTTTTTGTTTCCCGCTTTAACTGAAAGTGGGGGGATATTAATTTGGGTCTGTTTGTCCATCCGTCCGTATTTCTGTCTGTTTGTAACTCTTTCTTTTCCGCACGATATCTCGGAAACCCTTTGGGCTTTCGCAATAAAATTTTGCACAGCAACCCCCTATGCCCAAAAAAAAGAAACCCATTGATTGGGGTCAAAAGGTCAAAGGTCAAGGTCATTAATTAATAAAATTTTATCTCGTTTTTGCTCGATATCTTGAGAATCCTTTGAGCATTTGTAATGAAATTTTACTTAACAACTCCATGTCACTGTGGCCTAAGGCAGACCCCTATTGATTTCAAGGTCATAATTTATAATTTCCGTCTGAGTGTAACGCTGTCGTTTCCGGGGCTACATTGTATATGTCAAGAACCATTTGAGCTTTTGCAATGGAATTTTATGAAATCTTGTACCATAACTCTCTAGGGCCTCTCTCACCCCTCTCAAAGTGTCCCGCCAGGGTTTTTTTTTTATTATTACAATTTATATTGTATTAAAAGTCGCTTCAGCACAGGAGCATGAAGAGTTATTACGTATATTTTAGGTTGTCGGCGGACTTGATACTGTATTCTTATTACATCTATTAGATTGATTGATTGATTTATTATTGTTTAACGTCCCTCTCGAGAAATTTCCTATCCTTTATATCCATATCTGTATTTTTATTTGCTTTAATAAACGTATAAATTTAATAAATCTACAAATTTAGGGGAATCCGAACCCAAAGTATTTCACTGAATATCATGTTACATATGCGCAAATAAAATACAAATAGTACAGATTTATCCCAGTTATAGGAAACCATATAGCTAGGCTATAAGGCCTAGAAAAAAAATATGTTTGTTTCCGCTTTCCCGACCGACCCTAATTTATAGTGCCGACCCTAAAAATTTTTTAATGCTTTTTTCCCATGAAGTGCAAGATTTCACCCGGGGAATTATAGTCTCAAACTTTGCAAGCTTTTCAAGACAGAAATAAGTTTGGGTCACCTTTCTATTATAAGTTTAAGTCACAGAAATGCTTGAAAACACTATTTCTTTTGTCATTATGTTACTTCTATACACATTTTGATTAAAGAAGCAAAAAAAAATTTTCAAAAAAAAAAAAAATTGCCTACCTACCTACCCTATATTTTTTCAGCCTGAAAGCGGAAACAAACATATTTTTTTTCTTGGCCTAATGATATCGATGTTCTCTCTCTCCCTCCCTCTCCCTCTCTCTCTCTTGCTCTCTCTCTCCCAGTTCCTCTCCCTATCTCTCCCAATTCACTCTCTCTCCCCACTCTTTCTCTCCAACTCCCTCTCTCTCCCCACTCTCCCCACTCTCCTCTCTCTCTCTCTCTCTCTCTCTCTCTCTCTCTCTCTCTCTCTCTCTCTCTCTCTCTCTCTCTCTAGACGCATACCTACTATGTTGGGACATTGAACCGATTACCGTATTATAGGGACATTGACTTCTAAAGTATATGGGATACTATCTCTCTCGGAAATGGCAACTTTATGTCGTCAGAAATAAAGTGCTCACTCCTGTTTGTCCCCAATCCAAGCAAAAGAGAGAATTCTAAGTGAGGACGTCCTCACAAAATATTTTTGAGAGATTATTATTTCGCTAGATTAGTGCGATTAACAATATCTAAGAAAATACTATTTTGTGAAAATTTAGACACGTAAAGGATTATTTTTGGGCTGTCTGTAAAGCCTTAAGTGGATCCAGGCGAACCCTTTTTTGGGTGTAGATATATAGCAAAGCCCTGCATGCCGCCCCCCCCCCCCCAACTTTTTACCTTTAAGCAAAAAACAAATTCGGTGTATTTGCACGGGTGTTGTCGAAACCTGCTCAATGTGCAAGCAAATAAAGAAAAGAGGGCAAGCTATAGTTGGGGCCCACGAGTGGTTAATTTTTGACACCTCAATCTGCATGAGTATTTAATTTAATTAGCTAACGCTATATTTCATTTCTTTATTGGTACTGTTTATTTGACTCTTAAGTAAATGAATAAATTTGTTTTGTACAAAAAAATAATTGAGTTGAAGTTTTTAAATATGTCTTTTAAATAAATCACACAATTATAAACAAAGAAAAAATATGACACCAAAATGTGTTGGTGTTTATTCAAATATTTCCTTTCTAAATTTCAAAGAATTTTATTTCAGTATTTAATTTGGATTACAAAAATGATTTTTAATTACAAATGGAGATGGATGAATATTAATATTGCGTATAGAAAGATTATAGCTTCAGATATATCTAAAAGCATATTCAATTTGTGAATATATTAGATAAAGCAAAGTTCTAATTATTGAAATTTATGAGATTATGATAAAATAATTACACCCACTGAATATTATTTCCTTTATTTCATTTTCCACTAATCATTAATTCCCTAGCTTACTAACAACCAAAGAGACCATTTTATTGTTAAACAAAACTTTTCTGTGGAAAATTTTCTCGATAAAGTTTTTTTTTTAATCAAAAATTAATGTTTTATTCGTCACGTGGGAATCCAACCCTAGCAATAAAAAAATCTTTAGTATCAATTTTCGAGAGTACATATAGCACTACAAACGCTAACCACTAGACTACAATAGCCTTGATGAACAGTAGCATTTAAATCATGTTTGAGAAATCACCCTTGACTTAACGGACTTAAGTATTTTTCAAAAAAGATGCGGAAGTTATATCATAAAAGTATATTTCTATGGTATATAATAGTGGGTCCTTGGTCCATATTTTGGGTGACCAAATATGTAAATATTTATACAAATTTCGAGAAATAGTGCTATAGTATGAGAAAATGACTCTTTTTGCCCTCTTTAATAAGTGTGTATATAAAATTTCATAACTAAATAATTTTAATGTTTGTGAAAAATTTGCAAATTTTGGAGATTTTGCATAAAGTTTATTTTGATACATACATGTATTTGAGATTTAATTTTTCAACTTCATATTTAATTTTAACACAAAAGGTTTTTCGCTCGATTGTCATGTTCATTCATCTTTCATCATGCAGGGCCGTAGGAACCGGGGGAAGGTGGGGGAATGAGGGCCCTATCCCAATAAATTTTCTGATATATACACATGTATACAAAAAAATCCTATAATTTCCTGCTAGAAATGAATTGCTCTAAATCTAAAGCACACCCCATTAATTGTGTCAGACTTGAAAATTCATCTCTATAATTAAGCACTACTTTGATTTTTTTGAAAATATTTCATCATGAAACGAACTTTCTTAACACCCCTTATATAAAAACATGTCTTACATTATTTTTTATATAATTGCTTCCTACAGTCTTGTCACCTTAGTGAAAGATTTCTTATGAAACCCAAAACGTGTTTGTGTGTGTGTGTGTGTGGGGGGGGGGGGGGGGGGGGGGGGGGGTAACGCCCGATTTTAAATAGAATGCAATATCTGCTCAACTTTATGGTTTCTCCACGAAATATGATTTTTGCACGTCAACTTTTTCAAATAAGTATTTTTTCTCTAGCGCCTCCTT